CGTGACATTTTATCTACATGTTATGCGGCTAGAGTTTTGACACCGAGTCAATGGGCTCTGTGTAATTCTTTCTTTTTCGCTTGTTTATCGTCATCAGTCTTTTTCCTTTTACCTCTTTGTTTTATGAGCAGGTGTCACTCGAGAATTGGCAGTTTAGGTTGTTTCTCCGTCATAAGCACAGCTGCAGCACGCCGGCAATCTTGAGTTTGAACGACGGCTCGCGCTGTGCAAGAGAGGGGTGTGATCAGCGCGTACACGAGCATGATTGACACTGCTAAGACATTCCTCCTGGCTCTGATTGGTTGTTTCTGACCGGGAGCGTGTATTTCTTGCAAATGGCAATAGGACCACTGGGAGGAGCCAGAGGAGCTTGATTTTTACACAGATTATCTGTCTCATATTCTACTGTCAGGACATAATGACAGTTTTAGCAAATGCATTTTTTCAAAAGTTACCTACAGGAGCTTTAATGTAGGTCCTAGCATGAAAAATTTGCGGTTTTGGTGTCACTGATATCAAACCTGGCATGATGTGTCTTCATGCTTTAGTTTTTAGTAAACAGAGGTGTAAAGAGTAAACAGAGGTGTAAAGAGTACCTGAAAACCATACTTGAGTAAAAGTACAAATGCCTTACAGCAAAAATGACTCAATTGGCAGTTATAAGTCACCAATTCCAATACGACTTGAGTAAAAGTCTTTACTCCCGGTTTTACAGACAAGGTTTAAGCGTAGTCCCAGACTAAAATGCATGTTTGAGCTATTTTAACTGAACGCAACTTGCACTGACATATCTTAATATGTCTCACTGCCATTGTTTTGTCTCAAGATGCACACCGGTAATGTTTTTTTCCAAGGCATGTTTATAAAAAAAGGCATATTTAAAAAAGTAACCTCAATTGCAATGAGTAAAAGGTTGACAAAACAGCCTCTTAAACGTCTACAGACACTCAAGTCTGAGTTAAGCTCAAGTGCTCAAAAAGGACATAAAAGTCTCTTCAATATAACGGATAAAAAAAATTATGTTAAGTAAAATGAAATGGTCAAAGCCTACTGTACTTGCACTGGACGTGCAGCTGCAGTCATGTCCTCATCTCATAAAGGAAACCCCTGTGATTCACAACTACCTGCTAATGCAATCACATTCACTTAAAGTAGCCTTGTTGAAAAGTTTGGGTGCGTAAGGGCAAAACGCACAAGATATAGTACCTTTAATATCCTGTAGATGGCGATATCGCCTCTTTTATAGCAGAAATAAACTGCTGCAGAAAAAGTTAGGTGCCATGTAAAATGTAACAAATAATTACATTACTCATCACAAATGGATTAGAGTAAAGAACATACTTATTAAAAAATGTAGTCGGGTAGACAGAGAGTAAAAGTTGCTAATATCTTTGATACTCAGAAAAATTACAAAGTCGCCAAAAAGATACTTCACAACAGTAACTAATTACATTTACTTAAATACTGTAATTCACTGAGAATAAATAGCCATTTAAATTAGCCAGGAATTGTGAAGATTTTGTAGATATGAAACAAATAATGCTTTATACTTTGATGGTAAACCAGAACACTGTGACAAGTAAATGTGAACTGAATGCAGTCAGCGCTTAAAAAGATCCCAAAGTCACACTCCAGCACACTCCTGTCCTCAACAACTCTTCTCTACTGTCTGAGTCTTAAAATACAAACACTCCACACACTCTCTCACTGTGCTTGTCATGGTTGTCATGGTAATTTCCAATGCCCTGCTTCCAACACATTGCAGACTTTCTAAAAATAATAATTTTTTAGTCTGTTTTTATTATTATTATTATTATAATTATTACGCCTTTTATCGCCGTCTCTCCCCTGCTGTCTGGTTGTCTCTCAATTTTACACTTTATTTAGCTTTTAGGACAGATATAGCTCAAGTGTTTGTGGCTTCTATTCTTTTGTATTGTCAGAAATATTCTTAATTATAAATCTGGTATCATATAAATTCCAAATAGGAATCTCATAAATAAATAAAAAAACTAAAATAATGGTGTTATATAGCAGTGTTGGATAGACGCTGATATTTGCGGAGGCAGATTTTGCGAGGCAGAATGTGCCTAGACTTGACAGTCAGCCTTCAAGACATTTACAATAATGCAGTGTAATTGAATCCACAAACCCAGTGAGTAGCTCTCGCTTCTGGAGTTTTGCTCCATCTCATCCACTCTGACAATGTCACATCAGAGAGTGCAAAGGTGTGAACAGTGTTTCTTTTATAACCATCCGATTGTTAGAACTGGGACATTGTGAAGAATGACATAAGTCAAATGCTATTTCTTTATACTTCAAGCCAGGGTTATATAAGGATCATTCTCATAAAACAATGTTCCCATGACTTACAATTGATATAATTAACAAAAAAATGCTGCAAAAGACATTTTATTTATATATTAATACAAATCATCAGAATTCTATGAACTATGTACTGTAGTTTATTTATTTATGCATTTTCTGAGAAATACCTTTTGTTAAACCCTGTTATGCTGTAAAATTTCCTGTTTTAAAAATAATGGGTAATAAGGGAGCACTTTTTTATTATTATCTAAAAGTAATCAAATTGTAGTCTGATTATATTACCAAAAATGAGTAATGTAATGGATAACGTTACTAACTACTATTTTTGTCATGAAATTTGGAATCAGTATAACGGACAACAATTTGTAAGTAATCTACCCAGCACTGCATATTGACACAGTTGTATGTATACATACTGACTGCAAATAATGGTGTGTGGTGCAGTGATATACATGTGCATAAGCCCCTTATTAGACATTTTTGCACTTAAAGCAGCACTATGCAGGAATTCCGTTTTTGTCAAACAGCGACCCCTAGAGTCGCTGTGGAGAACTTGTACTGTCGTGAATAGCACTTGCGCAGAGATGGTTCTGCACTCACGGCCGGATCCCCTCCCCCTGTACACCGGTACCTGTTCAGTAAGCTGTTACGAGTTGAAATAAGGTGTGGCCCCTTTAAGAGCTGCGCGCCCTGTTTAACTGTCGGCAGTCTGTATTGTATGTGCGCCTCGAACACCACATGTATACTGCGCCGGGTTATTTCTGTTTGATGCTTATTTTATCCGAATTTTATCAGATCTTTTTTGCCGTAAAGCAATTCGTTACATCGCGAGACCTGATATCACGCGACCCTTCCTGATGCTGCGCTGCCGGCTCAAAGTTGCAAGTGTGTTTTTTTCCACTCACATGCGATAGGGGGGTGCGAAACGACCACCATTCAACCCGAAAAGAGTAATATAACCATTCCAATGACTTCGAAGCTGTTCGGTTGAGGTAAAAAACCTGCATAGTTCACCTTTAACCCTAAAACATTCAACACCAAGAAATGTAGTTCTCGCATGACAACTCTCTGGAAGATTTTTAATATGGTAATGGGTATGACAATGTTAATGTATTTGGTCTTTGCGGAATAGATTACCAACTGCTGCTGCTGTTGATTATTGCTGTTGTTGTTGCAGAGCAAGTACTGGATCTACTGTACTGCTACAAGATGCTACTGCCAATACATACGCCGATACGCTGCTGTGAGTATGGAGACATGCTGCTGCTGCACAAATATCATATATCAATTACCCTTAGCAGATATATACAGGTGGAGCTGGGGAAGGAGGGTTTTAGACAAACTTTGAAAGTGCGCTGCAAACTGCTATAGTGAATGGTAACCAGCCATTTCAATGTTGAGCAGCAAGCTCATTGGCTGACCTGAACCAATCAGCAGTGATGGGCGCTTTCGAAACACGCTTAATGAAGCTTCAAAACCTTTACGAATATTTTGTTTCGAATCAGTGGTTCAGAGCGTGTATCAAAACTATCAAAGTCATGTGATTACAGTAAACATGGTTTCGTAACGTCATAACTGTTTCGAAACGTTTCGAAATTTCAATGGTTCAACCGCTGGTGGGCGATCTCTGTAAACCCATGAATCATGAGGTTTTATGGGTTTTACCTGATCTCTGATCAGTTTTAAACATTTGTACACATTTAATTAGACATTAGTATAATTAAAAGGAATAATCCTAGTTAATAGTGTCTTATTGCCCTGTTTAGCTGAGCCATCCATGGAACAAATAAAACAAACCCTGAAAATTGATAAATGAACAGATATATCACATATAGGATTAGATTTAGTTAATTGCATTTGATATATTTTACTTTTAATTAAACAGTTGCAATGGGTTTGTAAAAGGTTTTTTGTTGTTGTTGCATGTTTAGCCTGAGTTTTGTTGCATTTCCACTGTACTGACAACTATAGGGGTCACCGGGGTGGAGGGGTGGAGACCGGTGTCGGATTGTTTCGAAGCCTCAACACAATACGGCACATTTTCTTCAACTGTTTTAGCGTTCCTCGAACCCTCGCTATGCCCACCACTACCAATCAGCTTGTGCCCAGTAGTTAACGCTGTAAATATCATCAGCTGCGATAAGGGCCGCCCATCAGCCTAATCCATCTAGAGTTTTTATGTCAGAACAAGGCAGTAGGTTTATTCTGATTTTAAGAATATTAGTTTATTAACAGGGTTTAAATAATGTACTGTTTTAAGGTTAATAATAATAAATAAATAACATTTTAGCTACAGTAAGGCTGACACTTATTTGGGATTCAGTGTAGCATCAAATGGTAGTTGCGTAGTCTGTCAATGGAGGGACAAAAATCTCTCAGATTTGATTAAAAATAACTTAATTTGTGTTCCAAAGTTAAACGAAAGTCTTACGGGTTTGGAACGACATGAGGGTGAGTAATGATGAGAGAATTTTCATTTTTATTTTCAACCATCCCTTTAAGAATTAACCATGGAAAAATGTCACTATAAGTTGATCAAGTTCAGCAGTTATCCACTGTTTGCTGATCAACTGATCGATAAATATTATAAATAGCCTATTAAAAGGATATCTATAAAGAGTACAAACATGCTGAAATGTAAACTCACTTCATCAATTTCCAGCAGAGACCTATAACCAAGTTATTCTTTATTTCTGTCGTTTATTACAAATAAGCTTAAAACACATGTGTTTACATAGAGCCTTGACTGATCCTGATTCTAGTTAGATTGGTGACTGGCCAAAGAAACAGGATGTACAGTATAAGTGAAATATAACTTTTTTGGTTACTGAGTAGCCAGGTCATAACATCGCTGTTTAATATCAGCTGCTTCAGTGAGGTAGACATTGAGACAATTGAGTCACAGAATATCAAGAGAAAAAGCACAAAAGCAAACACTACACACAAACACACAATACTTCAATGGTCAATAAACATAGATTATCACAAAAGGAACACTTTCACTTGAAAATGTTATAACCATTGCATCTTTGTAAAAGATTTTCAATACTAATAAGCGGATCATTCCATAAAGACAGGTTATAGGAAAGCCATTAGGTGGAACATATTCAGAAAAAGAGAACAGTCTTTGAAAGAGAAAAAAAAGTACATTTAAACAAAAAAGTATCAGTGCACCATTGAGCAATACATGAAATTAAATAATCAATCCACATACACCTAAATATACAGAAAAGTCTATATACCTTTATATTGTCATATAAAGTAACACGTAAAATGTACCAGCAGTTTCAATATCTGTGACAGTTGTACTTGGCCTGAACCATTTAAATGTAGAAATATCTCTCATATAAAGAGGACAAGATTTCTACAAAGCTATTTAATGTTTTAATGATAGCAGCAAAACGGTTGTCATCGCTTTTAACGTTTTCTATAGCTCATAATTATGGCAACAAATATTCTTATCTTAGATAAGAGTGTGTACGTTCTTAACTTACAAGGTTGTAATAAGCCAACTAATTCAATTTACTATTTTTAAAAAATATTATTCAGTATATATTATTCAGAAAGTTTGCTAACAAAAACTCTGAAATAAAGATTCTTATATATAGCTAACGCCCACTGGAGCGGATCGTTTATCATAAACACTTTTTGACTATCTACAATTCTAAATAAGTGAACAAATCATCTGGTTATGATATAACAGTCACTTTATGTTAAGTAACAGTCTACACAAGTCTTTCGTAAGTAAACGTTGAAGTAGAGTGCTTCGATTATGATCCCATACAATGGAAATGTAAACTTATGACATGGCACAGGTTCATAAATTAACAGTCTGAAAATTCCAAAAGCTATTTCGGATGTAACAGTTCTCGTCATTTACTTTCATCGCCAGAAAGACTGATAATGGTTGATGAATGTGGCGAACAAAATTTCACATGAACATTTGGATGGCATCAAAACATTATGGCTACTGATTGCTTATTGTCTTTGACACTGTCATTTGGACCATATTGCCAAATACTACTATGCTCAGATAATTTACTGAACATCGCAAAACTTAAAACTAACACAGCACAGGCAAGATTATAGAATTAATTCTGTGTAATTTAAGGTTAAAGTGAAATTCTAGTGACTCCAAATGCCTTTATCTAAACTGATTCCAAGAGGCGACAGAATAAAACAACTTTTTCAAGTTGACCAAGCTCACATGTGCATAGTCAAACCTCAATACATTGAAACATTAATACATCAAGACAGTCATTTAAGATAGTTTGAGGAAATACATTTAGTCATTACTATATGTACAAAGCAAATTTTGCTTTTGAAGTTTCAACCATAAACTATTTATGTCCTGGACTCTTGAAAAGCATACTTTAACCTTACAGGCTTTGCCATCTCTAACTACAATCTCAGTCTACAGTTAGACCAAGCTACCAAAAGTTAGGACTGTTCAGGGAGCCAAAACACAACTCAGCTCAACTTACTTTCCCTTTTGGTGGTCCCATATCCAAGCCCCTCACTCTTTAAAAAAGATTTTTGAGAAGATACATCTGGTGACCGCTATAGTAACCTCCTTCTCAGTTGGACTTATGTTCACCATTCTTGGCCCAGCCTCTGGTCATGGCTGATACCACGATGCTGTACATATTGAGCCAGGCCTGGCGCAGTGGTGTTGTGTAGGCTGGACCCAGGCTGGACTGAAGCATATAGAGCAGGGACTCTCCAACCACCTAATGAACTCATGAAAGAATCCAATCAATCAACCAATGGTCTGAAAAATCACAATGACGGTGTCAATGTCAATCTCAATATCTTCTTTGACATTTGCGCGCTACGGCTGCAATTTCTAATTTCTATCATCATAGATCACTAGTAAGTGATGACTAGACCTTAAAGTGTACTCACAGCAAAGGACTGAGGCTTTACCCCAACGGCCTGATGCTTCCTGCCCAGGTTCAACAAGAAGTCCTCCAATGTATGCAGGTCATCAAGATGGCTCACCGCTGCATCGATCACTAACATGACCTGGGAAGATATACAACCACTCTTGAGCTGGGTTTAACAGTTCTGTAAACGCAGGAGTTGGGCCAAAATTAGTATGAAAATAAACATTGTAGACCTTAAGTAGCCCCACCCCTTTTCAGCGCTGCGCTCGTTGTGTTCTGCCTTCCGGTTTGTATTTCCACAGCATGACGGTCAGATCTTACGGATTTATGAATGAACGGCTCGTTTTAAAATTTTCACGGTCTATTTGTTATGACATCTGCCTCAAAAGTTACAATGCTCAAGATAACTTTTCTTAACTCTACAATAAGTAAATCCATTTAAGTTAAGTTCAAACGCAAAATTTCTCTGGTGCATAAGGTCTATATGAGTGTTCATTTGCCAAAATCAGTGGTGTCCGATCCTGGAAGGTCAACATCCTGCAGAGTTTAGCTTCCACCTGTGCCAATACACCTGCTTGGATGTCTCGAGTAATCCTGAAGATTATGATTAGCTAGTTCAGGTGTGTTTATTTTGGGTTGAAGCTAAACTCTGTAGGCCCTCCAGGAGCAGGATCAAACACCCTGGCCCTAAATGATCAATGTGGCTCTATGGTGCAATAAACAACAACTAAACATATCAATACAATACAATACAATACAATTTTATTTGTATAGCACATTTAAAAACAACTTACATTGACCAAGGTGCTTAACAAAGCAATAAAAAGGTAGACAATACATGCACGAAACCAACAAATACACGTCAAAGAGAAAAGACGGACACATCAAGGTACAGTAAAAGCTAGTGAAAAAAGGTGCGTTTTCAGAGAAGTTTTAAAAAATGTCAGAGTTTGGGCAGATCTGATATTTGAGGGTAGGCTATTCCATAGCTTGGGTCCATAAGCTGCGAAAGCACGATCACCCCTGTTTTTTAATCTGGTCCTGGGGACAGAAAGTAAGTTCGATTCCCCCGATCTTAGTGATCTTGACTTCAATGTTGGGTGAAGCTGTTCAGATAGGTACTGGGGAGCTAAATTCTGTAAAGATTTAAAAATAAAAAGCCATTTTTATATCAATAAAAATGGCAATTTAAAAGCCATTTTTATATCAATGATCTTTCGACAAATTAGCGGCCAAATTTGCTAAAGAGTGGTGCCGTGAATTTATTACAATACCCCTGAAGCAAGCTCGGAGTGCAAGCTTTGCTGAAATGCATCATTGTCATGGCTTACTTCTGGAGATAGTAACCCTCATCCTATGGAAACTCTTAAAAGTGCATTTCGTACCACAGGTGTAGGGTTAGGATTAATCTGTCCATCTTGACAAAACCCTTGCCCCTTGAGGATCGAACCAGCAACCTTTTACCGACCCAGCATCTCCACTTTAGCAACGACGCCACACCAAAGCTTTTTCTCAGTTCTATCTGAATGCAAAGAATGGTCTTTCCAGGCTACCTTGAAAGAGCTCGGAAGGACACGAGGACACGGAACGCATCTTTGTGAGAACTGAGATGTGCTGTGATCCGGTTGCAGACCGTCCCAGCACAGTTTAATTACTTGCGTTATTTTTTTTGATTATTTTACCATGGTGGGTATTTGTGTAAAGGAGTGTGTATATTAAATATTGCCTATGCTTTACCAATATTAAGATTTGGTAATGCTTTATTTTACAGTGCCATTGTTACATATGTTACATGCACTATAAATCATGCATAATTACATGCAACTTACCCTAAACCAAACCAATCCCTAATCCTAACCCTAAGTACTTGTAGTTACTTAATATTACTCAGTACTTAAGTGTATAATAACACTGTAACAAAAACACCTTAAAATAAATTGTAACCTAAGATTCTTTTAAATATGCAAATAAAATGTACTGAAGGCTTTCTCCATGTCATTATTACAAAACAAAACGACAAATGTTTACTTTCATGAGCCACCGCATGTAGCGGTTTTGTATTGTTTAAACATACAGCCTTCCATTTATCATCCACGCACAATGAGTTCTGGGATTTCCAACTGTTTGATTCGCTCAAGTCTACATTTAATGCATCCTCGATAACAAGAACACCTCCAGGTAATTTCATGCATTCTTTGAGTATTGTTGAGAAATGGCCCAAAAGTAGGTTCCTGCACTTTTACATTTTTAACAATTGTTACAGATTTGACCTTTGAGCTCACCTTGGTGACATGATCGAGGAACTCTGGGCTGGAGAGGCATTCAGGTGCGACCCCACAGTTTGTGCTGTAGCTGAAGAGAGTAAGTAGTGCTGGATCCAGCTCAAATAACCTATCAAGAAATGTTACATTTAATCAGTCAACACTATAGACATGGATCTTCAACCACAGTTGCCTATTTCTAGTGCTGTCAAATCGATTAATCGTGATGAATCACATTTTAAAATAAAAGTTTGTAAATATGTGTGTGTGTGTGTGTGTGTGTGTATATATGTATATGTGTATATACTTTATATATATATATATATATACACATATACACAAACACATATATTTACAAATTTTTATCTTAGATGCGATTAATCGCACTACTTCACATAAAATTAAATTAGGTAAAATAAGTCATTTAACCTTGACTAATAGAAAACAGAAAAATGTGTATTCTTTTTTTCTTTGCAGCTTTAAGTCTCTTCACTTTTTTCCCCCAAAGAAAGTCATTTTTAGACTTTATGGTGAGTTTAAAGAAAAATACTCAGGAAAGTGATACTTGGTAGCATCTTTCCTCCGACAAGGTGATTCGGATGAAAATGATCTTGCTGCTCCCTGTCGCCAAGCAACAAGTCAAGCCTCTTACTGAGCTGCGGTTAGAGGAACAGACAGCGGGAGACTGATGGGGAATTTTTGATGGATTTAAAGAGATTACGCTTTAGTTTGTTGGTTAATTTGCTATACCTACATGATGAGTACAATCTTTGAGTTATGGAAAGCAACAATCCTCCATTTTGATTGCCAATTACTGTACTGTATGCATTGTGCTTTACACAAAAACCAAACCATTTTAAAAATAGTTCATTATTGTAAATTAATTTTATTATTTTTATCAAATTATTTTGACAAATGCTTCCGTCTCAAAAAACACACACAATGTACTGTAGATGTAAATGAAGTACGCCACACAACTCTGTTTGCAACTTTCTAAATAAACATGCAGACTAATTCAAATAGCATTATCCCTGACTGCAAAAGAGTTTCAGCCAGCATGCAGCGCGGCGAATACATTACCTCGTGAACATAACAATTCCATGTGGCACCTTGTTCTTCCCCAGACTCTCCCAGCTGTCCCGAATCAGACCCTTTTCTTTTTCAGAGAGTTTCTCCATTGTGACCCTCGGGTAATGCTGTGATTCCTGGTCGTCTTTCAGTGTTGTGGCATCAAAATGTGTTCTTCAGTTTAAAGCAGGACCTCCTGAATTCCCATTTCCAGACTTCCAGAGTTCAGTCTTCAGGTATGACCCCCCCTGTGAAGTGCATATATTTGCGGATATCATTCGCCCAGGACAAATAAGACTTATCAGAGAAGCGTGCATGAGGGACTATAGGATCAAAAAGACTTTCAAATACATTTCATTAATGCATTGCAATCAATTTTACTGCCAACGCTTTCCGACAAATGCTTCATGCACTCAACATCTAGAAGAGAAGAAACCTAACTTAGCCCTGACTTTATGGTCACAATAAACAGTGTGTGAAGCCGACGTACCGTTCCTTCACTGCTCTAGAGGTGACCTTCTTCTCTCACTGGCTTCGTCTGTCTTTCTCTGGCATTAGGACGTCTGTTTGTTCACTGCGAATATGTATATGTCAAGCCTGCTATCCTTGTGTTTGCTCTCTCTCTTTCTCTCTCTTTCTTTGTCTCACTCTCTTCCTCTCTCTTTTCCTCTTTGCTCCCCCCGCTCTCTCACACACATGCAAACACTCACTCACTTTCTCTCTCTTTATCTCTCCCTCTATCTGCTCCCTCTCCCCTTTCTGCTGCATGTAACCTCATAGATGCCGCTTGATGTGCATGCAAACTAAGATGAAGAGACCGTGTTGGTAATCTTCTGCATTTTCCACACACACACAAAAACAACGTAAAGATCTATTTTTAATCGATCACACTGTAACGGTCCTAAATGCTCTCATCCTTGTGATATTGTGTTCATATGGACAGTAAATAAGGATAGAATGGAAATATCTCTAATCTCCTAGTAATAGCACCATGTTACGAGCCATAGCTCCTCCTACAGGTGAGAGTCTGGCCATCAACTAAATAACAACACCTTCATGCACTCCGTATGCATATAATCAAAGAAAACATTTAAGGAGATCTTATATGAATGAGTGAAAGAAGATGAAGATTCAAAGTTCTTTGTTTTCGATCTGTAAAGCATCAAATAAATATTTTCCTTGGCTTGCATAAGGTGGTATTCTTGCACACAATTAGTTAAATTAACAGCATCACTGCATTCTTAGTGCTTAGAAGTAGAGATGCACCGATACTAAATTTCTCAGCCGATACGATAGCTGATTATTCAGAATGATATCTGCCAATACCGATAGTTTGATTTTCTTAAGGTAAAAAATAATAATTCTCCCAAATGATCCTGCAAACTATACAGGGAACCCTCTCGTTTGGTACATTACTATAATATTAGAGGTTAAAATTAACAATTATATTCAACTGCTATTTATTATCAGATATAATAATTACACTCAAATAAAAACTGAAATGTCTGTATGCAATTTAGTTGCATATACGGTAGTTTTCATAAACACTTATCTTCATTGTAAAATTTAGGCTATACAAACATTCATATATCATTACAGTATAAACTCCTCTCTAGTGTTTATTTATAGCTAACTAACAACATTTGAACAACTTTCCTGAGGTAAATGCAAGTTTAAGTGAAATTGTCTTTCATCAGTTGAAACACGAATTGAGCGATTACATGAGACATGATTCATTTCTGTAAGTTGTGGCCTACTTTATCTTTCAACATACCTTCTGATGTTCATGCATGTTTTTTTCTCGAGCTTGTATTAAAGACTTTTCTAACACTTTAATTTTGAATGCTTCACGTCACACGCTTCACGAATCTGTCACGTCACATTTAAGAGCGTCAAAATGCCATTTCACGAGTTCAAACTTTAATTGAGTAGAGTAAGGTAAAAAGAGGTAAATGTATATTCCTCTAATCGTTAATTGAGTTGATTAACTGAATGCGCTCCTGTTGTGTTAATCAGGTTAATTATCTGAACGTGCTCCTCCCGAACTTTGTTAATAAAACATCATTGCTTAATTTTTATTGGCCTATATAGATTATTTGCCAATACATCGGTGCATCTCTACTTAAAAGCATCTCTTCTTTACTGAAATAAAGATTCCAATTAACCAATTACAATTGTAGAGCTTCGGCCCATCAAAAAAACATGAAAAAGTTCTTTAGAAAATCATTTATGCGCTACAGAACCCAAACCATCTGAAGAATCTATAAATGCATCTCTATATATATATATATTATATACAATATAACATCATTAACTTTTCCCCGTAGAGCCCTATACTTTGAAAAAATGTCTGTCTTTGTTGAACATTCACTACCGTTCAAAAGTTTAAGGTCAGTAAGATTTTATTTTTTTAAGAAATGAATACTTTTATTCAGCAGGGTAACATTAATCAAATGCTACAAAAAATCTACGATGTTCTTTTGAACTTTCTATTTGATCTTTCTATTTCTATCTTTTCTATTCTCTAAAAGGAAGGTTTCTTGAGCATTAAATCAGCATATCAGAATGATCATAAAAGACTGGAGTAATGATGCTGAAAATTCAGCTTTGCATCACAGGAATAAAGTACATTTTAAAAAATATTAAAATAGAAAGTCATTCTTTTAAATTGTAATAATATTTCACAATATTAGTAATTTTTTATCCAAAAAAATGCAGACTTGGTGAGCATAAGGGACTTTAAAAAAACATTTAAAATAGACAAAGACTGAGTTCTTATGCTTATTAAGAGATATTAGTCAATCAGTTAATGTTTGTTTTGTTTTATTATATTTTCTGCTTGATCACATGTAGAAGGTGAACAAATGTGTTTTTCAGGGATTCCCTAAATAATTTGCACATTATGTCCCACTTGATTCAGAGCTATATCTAACATGTTGTCAATGTAAGGGACATTCAGTTGTGACAGCAAGACCCAAAGCACAGGAGAGAGCACAGTTGCCATGGTGACCTCGCAGGAGCACTTGAACTTTCAGTTAGCTGTCACTCAAACGCAGCGTTCTGTCCTCTGAAACTGACACATCAGTCAAGTCATTTTGGGTGTGTGCATGAAACATAGATAGACACGGAGTTTGTTAACTTTATTAAATCTAGCTACAAATTCAACAGAAATCTCCACTGACACATGACAAAATTAAATGAATTTCTCAGAATGGTATTTGCATCATTTTCAGAATGTGAGGCTGGAGCTGCCAGGGCAGTTTTTTGTCAAATTTATAAACCCAAAAAGTTTGAAAAAAACTTGCAACCAGGAATGCAGTTTTATCAAGCCACTACTTTATGACATGGTAGTGTAAATGTTTCATAAAATCGCAAAAATATACATTTCATCAGAATATATGGCTACTTTTGAACGGTCATCACTGGAGAAAGATGCTTTTTGCAAACATAATGGTGTAATTACAGCACCTACCAGCAAGGGCTATGTGTGTTCACACTTGGCATGTTTAGTTCGATTAAAATGAATCCTGATGCGATTGCTCTGCTAGTGCAGTTCATTTGAATAAATGTGAACGCCGCCATCCGAACCCTGGTGCCACCAAACAAGCGGACTGAAACCGCTGAAAAGATGGGTCTTGGTCCACTTCCAAATGAACTCTGATGCGGTTCGAATTAAATAGGAACGCAACATGGACCAAAGACATGTAAACGAACCAAAAACAGGACATGATGTCACAAGATGTGACCCTAAAAAGGACAGAAGGCTCAAGTATACGTGTTTTTTCTCGTAATAGTTGCGATGTTGCCCATCACAGTCGTTACAGGCATCAGAATCGCGTCTCCTCGCAGCAGATCTTCGTTTGTGTGTGTGACGGAGGGAGTCCTGCCGCTGTTTTGACTCTTTTACACATTTCATAAGCTCTTCACGAGTTCTCAGCTAGTCAAAATACCAACATATGTAGGCTATGCACATACAACGAGCACATTTAGCCCAGAACACAGCAAATTCTGTCGCGAAATATACATAATAAAAGTCGACCAATCAGGTTGTGAACGTATCCCTATGTCTTTAGGTTCGGTATCTTTAGGTTTGGTGTTAAAATGCCAATGTGAATGCTAAACGGACTAGGGCTGCATTTCCAGATAACAATGTATCTTAGCACTTACGAGGATTTTCTACGAACGACTTTACGAATGTTCGTGTTCATTTCACGTGCGTTTCACAAAAACGCACTTAGCACGATCTCACGGAGCTGTGCTTTAAGTGCTACATAAGAGTCGCTGTCCGTTTGTCAAGTGCTGAAATGTCACCTTGTAGAATGGCTCGTAATTGTAGCACACGCTTGTATTTTGAAATGTTTAACCTAATTGTTTTCACTTGATGTACATTTTCTACGAGGCCAATAATCTATAAAAGCACAAACCTATGAGTGGAGACACCAACAAAATGGCTGAACCAAAAAAACAAAGAAAAGAGGAGATTAATGTCATTTTAGAGGAGGTGGAGCTATACAAACATATTATTTTCAGCAGGTTTAAGGGCAGTCATACAAATAAACAAAAACAAAAAATCTGGGAGGATTTTGCTAGAAAACTGACTGCAACTAGGTGCATTAAAAGATCAGGGAAGGAGGTCAGGAAGAAGTGGCAGGACTTTGCCAGCCTTGCTTAAAGGAAAAGGGTGGTGGGACCAATGAGTCCCCCTTTCTCACAGCAGAGGAACAAAGGGCCTTGTCAATGCTTGGCACAAGTGCTTCAGGTGGTATTTGTGGTGGTATTGACATCCATGGAGGAGTAGGGGTAACACAACCTGAGCCTGAGTCAGGACTTTCATGCTCAGAGGAACTATCAGTTTAATCTGCCATCTCCCAGCGCCTACCTTCTCCTAGTCCTCCAAACAACCCTCCCAGGCCTCAGCCTCCATCTTCAGTTGTCCAGACTGCAGCCACAACACCTCAGCAGTTTGAGAATGTTTGTAGTTGTAGTCAGGACATATGAGAGTGTCCTTACTTAACAGGGAGAAAAATGAAGAGGTGGTAGAGGAGGACAAAGATGGCATGGAACAACATGATGGCCAACCAAGAAATGCCCAATACATGGCTGGTTTTCGTGCATGTCAGTAAGTCATTGACAGATTTTTTTTTAGTTCATCCCTATTTTTCCCAGTCTTTGAAGCATATTACATCTTTACTTTTTTTTCCATTCATTTAATTTTGATTAAATTAATTAGAATAAATTATTTCAATTTTTTTGTTGTGTTTTCTGCCCTTTTTAATTATTTCATTTATACATTCATTTAACCCAAAAAACGAGTAATAAAGTGTACAATAAAGTAGAATAAAAACCTTATATTATAATCACATTGCATTTGAATAAAGTTAAAGGTGTAATCTCCCGGTTGTCCTGCAGGTAACCTCATAACTCTGTCTTCTTACGATGCACTTGGGGATTTACGATTACTCCAGAGCACTCGTAGATCTACGATGATTTTCAAGTGCTACTTAAGTTACGATGCTTTTGGGTAGTGATGGGGACGAGACCGCCTATGCCGAGTCCGAGTCAAGACCGAGTCTTTGAAGGGTTGAGTCTGAGTCGAGACCAAGTCCATTGGTTTTCAAATACAGTCGAGACCGAGTCTTTGAAGGGTCGAGTCCGAGTCGAGACCGAGTCCGTTGTTTTTCAAATACAGTCGAATCCGAGTCAAG